TTGCGATCTGAAAAATTGGTCGGAAGAGACAACACCGAATGGATAAGCTCCCTTTATCTTTTTTATTATTTTATTACGAGCCTCCCTATATGCGAGAGGTTTTTTTTTAAAAAATTTTGAATTTATTTTAAAATTTATTAGGATTAATCGTTTTATTAGTCCCTGAATTTAAACCCGATTTGCATTTGAGTACCTCAATTTCTAAAATGGTTCTCGTGGTCCTTCAACTTCATTTCGTTAAGATAATTGGTCATGTCTTCAATTTTGTTAATAAAAAATTCTTTTTTTTCAAATATTAATAAAAAAAAAAGTTAAATTATATCAAACAAATAAATTTAAATTGAAAATTGAAAACAAAAAAATCTCTCACCTTCTCTCTTCCCTTCCCAGCCAACCCGACCATGACCTCACCCATCCTTTCCCAGCCCCTCTCCATCTTTGCCTCCATCGCTTTTCCACCTCTCCTTCAACCAGGACCACGCATGCTTTGCCATTCTGCCCCAAAAATTTTTGAAGCCTGTGGTGCTCAATTTGGATTTTCTCACTTTTTCTCTAGTTCAAGAAAAAATCTTGATGAGGACTCAAACGACATCGTGGATCAGGTGTTTGCTATGAAACTGCCTTGAATTCGACTTGGATTCTTCTCGTTGTTTCGTTTGTGGATTCAATCAGTACCTAGTTCGTGGATTCGTTCGTTAATTCATGTGTTGCTTGTGAAAGGAGAGTAGAATTGGTGAATCTAAACCCCTTCCCAACTTGTGCTAGATGCATAAAATCCTAATTAGCTACTCCAAGAAAGCACACATCAAGCACATAATAAACTGGAGATTAACAACTTGATAATGAAAGTAAGGAAATCAATTAACTATGAAATCATCCATAACATTGAATATTCATGACTAGGGCTTCATCCTAAGCCCTAACTAAATGGATTAGTTAGACATAACTATGAATACAAAAAATAAGAGATACATAGATGGAATGAAGAGAAGAGAAGAACTAGCCGGTGGCAGCAATGTGGTTCCCAGGACAACTCCAAGCTCTCCCTTCTTTACAACTAGCTCTCTTCTCTCTTTGTGGTGAATCTAAATGTGTGTGTGAGTAATGGATGAAGTGCCTGTGTGTATCTGTCTCTCTTTTGAATGAGCTGCACCTCTCTATTTAAAGACTGCCAAATTCGTCCTCCCCTTGGCTGGTGTAGACAGCCCACCATAAATCCTGGAAACTGCTCCTTGATTTGTGCAAACAAGTTTCCCCATAATTAAGCATGCCTTGTTTTGCTCCTTGGAACTTCCATAGCTGAAATGCCTCCCTAAATTGCTCAACGTGTCAAGTCCAAAGTCAGGTACAGCTGAGGTGAGGCACATGGCTCAAAGGAGGTGTGGAACACAAGGCTCATCTGCTGGCAACTGCATATTAAAATCCTCCTGACCATGGTTCAGTGTTTGTTAGGCTATGGACTCCAAATATGCTCAATTGGGCTGAAATTTGGATATGTTATAATAGACACCCGTTTGAACAACTTCTATGAAGAATGTCTCCTCATCCGAGTTGTGTAGGTTGCTGAAATGAGGCCTGCAAGATGACCCACGAAATTGGACTGACAAGGAGTGTGGCCCAAATTGGGTCTGTCTTTAAGCTTATATTCCTCTTGTGCCAATCAGTCCTTAACATGCATGGATTGTATCAAATGTGATCTCTTGCTGCCTTATCCTACAAAACACACAAACATAGGTAAGTGACTCAAAATAAAGAGAAACTAAACCAAATCACTAAATAAAGAAGGCATGCAAATGTGTAGAATTATGAACTTATCAAGTATGGTGCGGAATTAACGTCCATAAAACAAGTAATTTAATTTATGAATTCATTTTACCGCACATTTACCTTGATTTAAAATATGGTGCGGGTTTATCGTCCATAAAAACAATTTATTTACAAGCAATTTATAACAATTTATTTTACGAATTAATTGTGTGATATGATGAGTTTTACAGCATATAGAGATCAGGACCAGAAGTTCCTTGATCCTCATCATACAACTACATCAGGACCTGAAGATCCTTGATGATGATAATGATATGAGAGCTGGCAATCTCTCCGGTACTATATTTGTAAACAAGATATCGGACCTGAAGATCCTTTATCCTTGACATGTAAATAAGGACCTGGTGTTCCTTGATGATGTAACAGTACCATATTGGTTACTAGTACAATACACATGAATAGTAAATGTACTGGCAAATATACTGTATGCATGAATAGACACGTATTCATGACTTGATGAATAGTACCGTATACATCAATAGTAACATATGCATAAATATTAACCATTTTGGGTAAACCGTCACTATATACAAAAGGGAGCCTGCAGTTCCTTAAACTCATGGATAAACAATTAAATGAGATGCCAGAAGTTCCTCAAAACATGGACAATTATGTAAGGGCATGAAGTCCCAAAATATGTACAGGAAATTATAAAAATGTCTATACCATGAGAATATGTGATTTTGGCCAAAAATTCAAAATCTAACAATATTGATAACTTGAAGTTGCAACAGTTAAATGGACAACACTTGAGGTATTATTGCAAATTGTGGTATAACACATATTTCTTTGGCATAAGAAAATAATGAATTTAATAAAGTTTTTATGTTATAATTGACACCTCAAGGAAGAAATATATCTTGTGAATTCCGGTTGTTTAGAATACATCATGAAATAGATAATATCTGGATAAACCTTAAAGGATGAATTGAGGCTTTCCACATATTTTGTTATATTATATGATTTGGGTCGGAAGCCCATGGATCCAAATATATGAGAGATTCCGAACCTTAAGTTTTGGGTATATAGTAGTTAATGCTCTTCACTACTATATTGCAATATTATCATGGCATTTACTCAATTTATATTTCATGCCCATTTGAAAAAGGCAAATAAATTTTGAAGTCGTGTTTAGCCTGGGCCAGAGGCTCTGGACTCACATGCATTGAAATATGTAATTTGAGAGATTTGATGTGGTTATTTGAACCTATGAGGCACAAGGTTCCAAACTGTCATTTTGAAAAGACGTGAAAACCACAGGTGGAAGTTTAAGAATTTACCCAATTATTATAACAGGAAATGAGCATGCAACAAATAGATTTTTTCACTTGTAAGGAAGGAGCAGGCACTGTAAAATATATATGATTTCATTATGTTCTGGAAGCCTCTGAAGGAAGAAAACGGTGCCTCTTAAGCTTAGTCATGAGCCTCTCGTGGTCTCCCAGAATCTTTTCATTGGAAATCTGCAGCATGTCAAGCCTTGTCTGCGCATCAATGGAGTATGAACTCACCAGTTTCAACAAGGCCTTATTTTCCTTTTAAAGTTTTTCAACCTCTTGCTGAGACTATGCAGCATTCTCCAAAGAGACAAATTTTCAGTGTTCAGCTCCTGAATCTCGTTTACTCTGGCAGGCAAACGATCAGCCATGTTAGAAACAGAAGCAGCATTCTGAATGCTAAAAGCCATTGAGTCATCAATAGCCTATTCGTCAGACCTTCCTGTTAACAGTATTTCATCCATAAGAGTAAGGAAAGTCCTAGCTACTGTTGTGTAGATACAGCTGCACCAAAATGGATTAAGCTGCATCCTCAACTTGTGATACTCGCAAGTGCACGAGCCGTTC